CGCAGTCTAGTGGTTGAAGGAGCTGGGGTAGGGCCCCAACGAGCCGGCTGGGAGGGCAATTCTTTACCTCACTCTGATCAGTTGCCTATGAGCACCTCTGTGCTTGAGGAGCTCTATAAGGAGCTGCTGCCTCTGCCGCTGAAGGCTCTGGTGGTCCCTAAGGAGGAAGTCAAGGAACTCGAGGAAAACAGCGCCTCTCCTGAGCAGACCTTAGTCTTGATACGTCAGGTTCGTCTCTTGCGGCGGCTAGCCGAGGAGTATGTTGGTCGTGCTCAGGTCAGTGAGGAATTGGCATCGTCCCTCCATTCCTGGTCATTCGGGTGGCCCAATCGGCATCCTAGTGAACCGACTCGTGTCGAAGATGGCAGCGTCTCGAAGACTATTGGTGGCGAGTGGGATGCTGTTGTGATACTGCAAGCGATTCTTAGCGGAGCGAAGCACGTGACTAGGTAGGAACTACTGAGAAAAGTGTGGTACTGCCATTGTGAAGTGTCAGGAGTGCCACTAGTCGGCCCGTGACCTTCTGGGTCGAGGCTGAGGAGGTGCTCAGTGGCTGTGGTGCCACTTTGGTAGACCTTTCTGGGCCCTTGGAGATCGCCCGGACCGTGCAGACGACGAACTTCGACCTTGAACGCCGTTCGTCTGACCTTCTCGCCCGACTGAGTACTGACCATAAGGCCTCTTCGCAAGGACCCGCTGAGCCTTCACCAGTGGACGCTACGTTATACGCCGACCTACTGGCCCTCCTCAAGAACGTGGACGAATGCCCGTGTATTACGGTGAAATTCGAGGAGTATGCTCAGCCCCAACAGGTCTTGTTTCGAGTCTTATTCTTTTCAGGACGCTGCGACCGTTGGTCGCTCGCCTAGCTGGGTGGCAGGATGGGGCTCGAGAGCTGTTCCATTGGGATGGGCAAGGGAGGCCCCTGGAGGGCACCTTCAAACCTAGCAGGGATGCGGTGGAGGAGTACATTGAGAACCTCAGAGCCGACGACCAGCTCATGGGATTGGTCAGCATGAACTTCCTTAATCAAGTGATCATCGTGGCGGCCTTCACGCTTTTGTTGGACCCATCACTCGCCTTTGAACTCAGGTTGCATTTATTTCGGGTGTCCTTGGGGCTGTCCGAGACGTCCAAGTATGGGAGAAGGATCTCGAAACCATGCTCCAGTTGCCGGAAGGAGATCTGTCCTTATCGGCACTCCGCAAGCACGTTGGCCAGCGGTCTCATCTGGCCATTGATTTCCCATGGTCGGAGAGGACCAAGCGGGCGGCGTTTGAAGCCGACCAGTGGTTGACTCTGCTGCAGAGTCGGCGGTCTAGGCGGCGGCATCTCGCGTTGAAGACGGCAGAAGAGATCCTTCGAGCAACGCTGCCACCAGAAGAGGGAGACGAGTCGGGCTTTACGAGGGAGATAATCAATAAGAGTCGGGAGTGTGTAGCTCTGAAAAAGCATGTGAGTCTGACGGGTCCCTGTGGGGTTCAATCTTGTCGTCAGGTGGAGGCGGCCAAGCGGCATTTACAAGAAGCCATCAAGGCCATCCAAGCCAGTCATGAAGCTCGGGCCGCGCTCCCTGGAGAAGAGCCCTCCAACTCGGTCGAGCATGAGGATGCCTTGTCTGGGCTGGCGGACGAGGGCAAGAAGCTGTATGTGCAGACTGGTGTTGGCAAGTGGCTCGCTCTCGAGCTAAGAGCACGCAATGATAACAAACGTCTACGAGGGGCATTCGAGAAGGATGACTGCACGTTGGAAGAGGCCCAACAGATCTGTCAGAGTGTCAGTTCTCCACCACCCAGCTCAGGGAACCAGCAGGAGCAGCGAACCCCGGTGGTAAGCTCTCAGTGTATGCGTGGTCGTAGTGGTAATGTACCATGATTCTAGTCTTACTATTCTCGAAATCCTGGGCACTGTGGGACGTGTTCGAATGATCAGGAGATATCGATGAGCGTTGTATGATCTTGCCCTGAGCGCCTCACGCCTCTGCAACGTTATGTTTTCAGTACGATGAGAGTCCGACAGAGTTGATGCCAGTACGCTGACGTCAGAGCTGGGGAGTCTGGATTTCTCATGTGATGGGGAGCTCTTGCGGCGCTGGCTCGGGAGGTGGCGGCGGCTGAGGCCTAC